TGCTGCTGAACAATACCTGACTGCAATTCCTGATTAGTCCTCTGCCTATGAATATCCTTCCACAAGAACTTCCACCTCTGCGTTGACTAGACAGAAGATCAAGAGAGATAATGCTGTGAGACATGAAAACTGCCTCTGAACTAATTGTCCAAAGTTATAATTAAACTCTGAGAAAGAAGTCTGTGGTAAAACCATAAAGGCTCCTGAGGTCAAAGCTGCCATCCCAACCGCTAACCAAGCTTTCCTCCTCCTGCATCTCTCACTCTGGAAAGGTGGGATGACACGTTCCTAAAAACAGCATCACAAGTTCAGGCATTTCACTACACTAACAAAAGCAATTAACACATTCTCCACATCTGGGAAGAACAATCAAATCCCACTGAGGGATAAGACTATCCCATACTAATCCCCCAGAAACGAGGTGTGGGGGACGCTTGGGGGGGGTGGACACACAGAAAACATAAAAATAAAACCAATAGTTCACAATAAAATCCGTAAAACCCACTAGCCCCGTCCTACTGGCTGTCTAATAAAAGATGCCTTCCTAATTGCAGCCAAACTGTTCTACAGAACAAATAATTGAGGGACGTTTCCTCCACTAGCTTTATAACTTCTAAGTCATTTCTTTCCGGTTTTCACAATAAGCCGTGACAATTAACAGCAGTTCAACTTTAGCTGTAATAACACACCCTCTCTCCTTGCTTCCACTTTAAAAACAGTTACTAAAAAGCGCCATCTCCAGGTTACTTCTGGATTTCAGGTTTTATAAGCTTTTACTTTCTCCTCCGCTCCGTTTGCGCACATTTTCCCCAGGCAGAAGCCCAGTGGCCGCTGCAGCCCCCCCCCTCCGCCTCCAGCCCCTCTCCCCCGGGACCCCCGGTGCCCCCAGCCGGCCGCCGCCCGCACCTCGATACCTCACGCCCGCCCGACACTCGCCAAGGCCCCGAAAACGTGGCAGCCGGGATCTCGGCTCCTCCCGCCGAGGCCCACACCGCCCCGGCCTCCCCGGTGCCTCTGCCCGGCCCCACTGACTCTACCCGCATACGGAACGGACCCCCCGACTGGAGAGGGGGCCCCCCGAGCGCGGCCCACCGCCGATCTCGGCACCCCCCTCACCTGAGGCTGCACGGTAGAGAAGGAAAACATCCTCCCGGCGGGGACGACGGCGGCGGCGGCGACCACAGGCGCCTCTTCCGCTCGCCCGCCCAGACGCAGGAGCCGTGCCCGCCTGTCAGCCTGAGCCGCTCGGTCGCTGTGGCAGCCGCCGCCGCCACCAGCGGGAGGGCCCCACGGCTCCGCTCGTCGGGAAAATGGCCGCGCCCCGCCACCGGCAGTGACCGGGCCGGAGGCTCTCCCGGAAGCGGCCGGAGATGGTAGAGCTTCCGGGTCGCTTCTCCCTAATGGCGTCCCTCCCGCGCGCAGCCACCGCCTCACAAACCAGGTTGCTTAGCAACCCTTGTTTTCCCACCTTCCCCGGCTACGAAACCGGTACCGGGGGTGCTCCGGGGAGGAATTCCTGAGGGAAAAAGAGGGGCTGTGGGGGTGGGAAACGGGGCGGCCACACGCTCCCCAGAGAAAGACAGCGCAGAGGCCGGTCCCGCGGGGGTGGCGGTGCGGCAGGAGGGTCGCTGTCAGCGTAACCACTGATAGAAGTAACATAGAAGGACAGGGACCTGTTGGAGCGGATCCAGAGAAGGGCCAGGGACAACTACCTTAAAGGAGGGTGGAGAGAGGTGGGGGTCGGTCTCTTTTCTCAAGGCACAGGCGACAGGACAAGAGGAAATAGCCTCAAGTTGTGCCAGGGGAGGTTCAGGCTGGATATTAGGAAAAATTTTTTCACTGAAAGGGTTATCAGCCATTGGAACGGGCTGCCCGGGGAGGGGGTTGAGGCACCATCCCTGGAGGTGTTCAAAAGACGGGTTGATGTAGTGCTGGGAGGTATGGTTTAGCGATGATGCTCCTTGTTTGTTGTGTGGGTGTCTATTTTTGTCAGTCAGGTTGACGGTTGGACAAGATGATCTTTAAGGTCCCTTCCAACCTAGAAGATTCTGTGATTCTGTGACGCGGTCAGGGGGCTGGAGCCCCTCTGCTGTGAGGACGGTCTGAGAGAGTTGGTGTTGTTCAGCCTGGAGAAGTGGAGGTTCCAGGGAGACCTTCAGTACTTCCAGTACCTAAAAGGTCTACAGGAGATACGGGGAGGGACTCTTGCATTAGGGAGTGGAGTGACAAGATGAGGGTAACTTCTAGACTGAGAGAGAGTAGATTTAGAACAGATACTAAGAAGAAGTTCTTTCCTGTGAGGGTGGTGAGACCCAGGAACAGGTTGCCCAGAGAAACTGTGGCTGCCCCATCCCTGGAGGGGTTCAAGGCCAGAGCGGATGAGGCTTTGAGCAACCTGGTCTGGTGGGAGGTGGCAGGGGGGTGGAATTAGATGGTCTTTAGGTTCCTTCCAATTCTGACCATTCTGTGATTCTATGAACATGTGTTGTTTAGGTTACCATCACTACTCAAGGTGCCTTCCTGAAGTACTGAAAATATTTTGCAGGGAGTTAGGGTATACCACCTGTAGAAAGAAACTTTTACAAATTAAAATATGTATCAATAACCTAAACAGTGTTACTCACATTGAGATAAAACATAATCTAAATGAAGACATTATGGGCACATGCTTCTACATAAGTCAGAATTTTGTCTTTGATAGTCATCTTTTTTAATTCATCCCTCGTGCTATTTTTCCGTGTGGTCTCCAATTATTTGGAGGTTTTATTATAGTTCCCTTTTATTACCTGACCACTGTTCTTCTTTTCCTCTCTGGAAGTGCCACCCCACACCAAGTTCCACGGATTTGGCTCAGCGCAGCCACAGTGCTGCCTCCCCCCGTACTCTCATGATCACAGCCAAGTGGCTAAGGTAGCTGATTTGGCAGAAACCTCACCCAACAACCACATTAAAACTCAACAAATCCTAAAAGTTGATGAGTATTTACCTGGATCCACCCCAGGAAGCAGTTTTTCATGCAGCTGTAGAAGGGCTTGTGCTGCCTGGAGGGAAGGCTTGGGTCCTCTCTTGGCTGGGCTCAGGCTGCAGCGGGACATGGGCTGCCCCATGGTGGAGTTCCACAACTGGCATAACCCGATGAGGGTGTGTGATGCCACCAGAAGAAGCCATTGCTCCTGCTCTGGGCTGGGCTCCTCTGCTGAAATCGCCATCAACAAGACACAGCCCAACTAATGCTGCAGCTGAATCGCAAATACAGCCAGTGATAAATTGTATTTAATACCACTGTTGAAAGCTAGTTTAAAACATTACGTTTTCTACATTTGCTCATCAAAACACATGTATTGCTGGGATGTGTGGGACAGCAGCCCTCCCTCCCGGGTACGTGCAAGGCCTCCCTGTGCAGTATCAGATGATAAGTGGTTGTATCTTGAATCAAAACAAGGGTCTGTTGAGACTGATCTGTCGTGTTTGTAGAGACCCATAGTTCTGCACTGACCTCTGAAGACAAGCTGGCTCTTTGCTGATGTAGAGACTGTGACAGAAGAGTTAAGATTGGTGATCATGAATTACGAATGGCAACATATATGTGAAAACAACATTAAAACAGTAAGGCCAGGGTTAAAAGAAGGACCAAGAGCACACCCGGGAGCAGTAAAACTGGTAAACACAGAGGACTGTGCTGTGCAAACTGACATCAGGCGGCCTGGGCTCTGATAAGGCTGTCAGGGGTGATTTGTCAGCAGCCCTGTTATCTGGGAACAGGAGGATGAGCACGGGGTCATGGTACGCTGTAAATGCCACCCATCTCCCTGCTGTCTCAACAAGAAGGCAGAATGTAGTCATGGAGATACCCAAAATAAGGAAACAAAACTTAGAGCCACCCTGCCTAGGATTAATAGAGGCTGAAGTAATCAAGAATTGGAGGGAAGCAACAGATTGCATTATTCTAGTTCCTGATGATAAAAATCTGCCCAGAAAGCAGTTTGTCCTCACCAGTCCCGGGGACAACAAGAGACAGTAAGGACTGGGTGGGTCCTTATTGCACACATGGCATCACAGCTACACCATGTGGAGGCACAACTCTTGGAACACATGAATATGCCAATGTGAGAGAATGTCAGTGAAGCACATGAGAAAATGAATATGTGGGACCAAAATCAGTTTTTTCTAAATAAGTATTACCTTTCAGTTCCCTAATGTCTCACACCGAGTTCTGTTCAATTTGTATATCTTCAAGCATCCCACGGAAATGAGAGGACAGTCTCTCATCTCATAACAACCTACTGCACCACTGGAAACCTTGATGACAGTTTGAGGAGTTATTAGTTAGACCAAAGCTTTGACAGTTTGTCATAATGAATGTTCTAAAAAAAAACAAAACAAAAAACCACCACAACATACAAACCACCATGGAATGAACGCTATAGGATTTTTTAAATCGCTATATACAATCAAGAGAATAAGGACGTTTTTAAGGAGTCCTGGTGAAGCTGGGCAGGCTGCAATGAGGCCAAGTGGTTCAGCCAGAGATAGCGACAAGAGCCCATCAGAAATACCAGCACTAGGGCAACTCTCACAAACCTCGACGGTAACATTGCCACCAACTTTATTCAGTTTGTCTGTGCCAATAATAAACATATAACTCCTTCCGGCTGTGAGCAAAACTGCGGCCACTCCTCACCAGACAGCACCCGGGTGAGACCGCAGGGCGGGCACCTGCCACCACACACAGGCCTGCGCAGCGATGGCGTCTCTAACGGCGGCGGGCCCCCTCCATAGCGGGCTCATGAAGGGTCCCGCCGTTGCTCGGCAGCGGGAGGAAAGGAGGGAGCTGCCCGCAGCCGGCGGCTCCTCATCGCCTCAGCGCCCCGCCCGCCATGGCAGGCACCGCCCCAACGGCCGCCGCTCGCGGCGTCTCGCGAGAGCCCCCGCCTTCCTGTCGCGCGCCCGCCCGTTGGCCGGTGAGGCGACCGGGGCGGGGCGGGCGCCGCTTTGAACCCAGCGCGGGGCAGTAGGGCCGGGGCGCTAGATGGGGACGATGGAGCCGGCGGCTGAGGGGCGGCAGGAGGAGGAGGAAGAGGAGAAGAAGAGCGAGCAGGGCACTGCCGCCCCGACTGCCGGCCCCCGGCGCATCGAGGTTCCCCGGCCCCCCTCCATCGAGGAGTTCACCATCGTGAAGCCCATCAGCCGCGGCGCCTTCGGGAAGGTCTACCTGGGCCGCAAGGCGGGCAGGCTCTACGCCGTGAAGGTGAGCAGCCGCGGCCCACAGGGCCTCCTTCCTGCTGGGGGGTCACGGCGCTGCCGCCCTTCACTTTGGTTTAACCCCGTGTGGGAAAGGGAACCCTCCCGCGTAGGCCGGGCCCGGTTGCCCCCTGGCTTGTACTTGAGGTTTTGGGGGGCTAACAGGAGCCTGGGGTACATGTTGTCCCCACGGCTGCATTCAGCTTCCTCTTGGCTTTCCTGTTTGCCTGGAGGCTTTGGGCAGGAGGCACCAGGGTAGCGGCAACCGCATCTAGAAGCGCCTTAAATGTTGCGGGAACTGCGCCAAAGGCCTCGCAATTCGCTTCGTGCCTGTAAAGACTTGTTATAATTGAATCCCTCCAGCTGTCGTGCCACTGGGAGGGCGTTTTTGCATTTGTTCGTGAATGAATAGGCTGTCTCTCAGATGTATACAGAGCAAACTATAAAAAGGATTTTTTTCTGAGTGTACTTTTTTTTTTGTTAAAAAACAATCCGCACTTTCAATGTTGATACACAAAGACTAAAAACTAGGCTTGTGAGTAGTAAAAACATCACTGGTGGTTTGTGCAAGCTTGACTTTGCAATTAAAAGGATTACAAACAGCTGTGTAGTACACAAAGAAAAGGAAGTGTGAAAAAAGTCATGCAAAAGTGACTGCTGTTCAGAGCTGTATGCTGTTTACATGATTTTATTGTAAGCATTTTGAGATAAAAGTTTTTGTGCAAATACTCTATTGCAGTGAAGTTTATGGATTGTTCACAGCTACAGCGCTTAAAATGTGCCGAGTATTTGTGCAGTTAAGGCCAACACTTATTAAAAGTGTTCTAAATGTTCTGTGTATGTCTTGGAATTTTTTTTGTATCAACTTTGATAATAGTAGTGGTAGCCATGGAGACTAATTTTCTACAGTTTAAGTGCTGTAAATAAAGTGGTTCAATTGTGTTACTTTAGTATCTTACATAAGTTTATTGGAAGTATTGTGACCAAAAAGCCTCTGTGTAAATCCTTCATCCCTATTGCAGTGAGACTTATTCAAACTGCTGAATTTAATATGTGCAAAATAAGCTTACAGTTAAGGTTGACACTTATCAAATGTCAAGTATCAAATTACACTTCTGTCTTGTTTTTTTTATATGTTATCAAATTCTGTTATTGAATGGTGGTGGTAGCTGTAGACTCAACTTTCTACCATTGTGTTGCATAAAGAATGGATTAATTTAAACTTGTTTTAATATCACCATACATATGTGGACAAAAAGGAGCTGAATGTGGGCGAACTTCCAATGTGTATGCAATACTTGTCTAAATACATATTAGCTGTGCTACTGTACATCTTCTCTGCAAGATTAATATTGAGTGGGCATCAACAGATAGTGGAGTAATTCAATAAGGAATTGGAGCCTAATTCACAGTTAAGCTTGTTATTTCTTCATTGTGACTTGCATGCCTTTGAGACTTCTTCCCAAGAACACTGATATTTGTTGGGTGACTTGATTGTAAATTTTAAGCTAAGCGAAAATTCACTTGTTTTCTCTGCAAAGTTAAGAATTAGGTGCTGGAATACTTGCAGTCTTGCACTTGAGGACATGAAGATGGGACAGCTTATTGCTACACTCTATTTTCAGTCCTCAAGCCAAATATTTTAGCCCCCAAAGAGATTGAAAGATTTGGTCAGCAAGTGTCTAAATATTAAACACTCTATTCTGGTTCTGAGTTGTGTACTGTGGATAAGAGGATTAACTTGGGGCAGCTTAACTTCAGATACAGCCTAAACACTGATTTTTCCAGTGTGTGCAATTGCAGTAAATATTGGTAGTGTGATTTCCATTCAGGACTGAATTAGGAGGAGAGCAATGAAAAAGGTTTTAAACCTGTGGTTTAAAATTATGTCTGTATATGAAGTTACAGCTTTGTTTTATATGTATGTGTTTTTCAAGTATAGAGACAAATGAATTGACTGAAGAATGTGGGTTGAGCAAAAAAAGTAATGTTTATCTCCTTGATTTTGTTTTTTCAGGTGATGAAAAAAGCAGACATGATCAACAAAAACATGGTTCACCAGGTCCAGGCAGAGAGGGATGCGTTGGCTCTCAGTAAAAGTCCTTTCATTGTGCACTTATACTACTCGCTTCAGTCGGCTAGTAACATCTACTTAGTGAGTAAATAAATGGCTGTGGTGTTTTATGATAGCATTGAAAATGGAGTGCAGAACTATATTCATGCCTGAAAGTGTATTTTTATCGTAGTGAGTGGGTATTTCTTAGCCACTTTTACTTTTTTCTTTCTCAGAATGGTCAAACAATTGAAGTAGTTGAACTCTTCCCCGGTATCTTTGATATCTTTCCACCTCTGTTCTTTTTTTATTACAGCAGAATCTTTTCTAACAGCTAATCTGTTTTAGGAATATGTAAGCCTTCTGGAAAACAAAACAAGAAACCATTCTGTTCAAGCAGAATCCAAGTGACTGAGAGATACCCTGTGGCTCACTTGGAAGGAAATCTGTTTTACTAGTTGTGCTCAAAATTCATTATGGTAGTTGGCCTAGATGACAAGAGGGTAACTGAGTGGCAAGACTAAGTGCTAGCCCATGTGGAGCATGGTGGAGTACAGTAAGACTTGAATATGGTTTTATATACTGCCTCCATGTGAAACTAGTATGGATTTATACTGTCTACAAAGGCTCTAACAATATTTGTCTGTTTTGCTGTAAGCACACGCAGTGAACAGCTTGATTAAATTCTAAGGTGAGGTTGCTATGCACTGCTACAATGGATTTTGAGTATAAATGGAGGCTTATTTTTCTGAAATTGTGGTTAACTGCTGGATGGAGTAGAGGAGTTCAGGGTGAAGGATTTGTAAAGGAGATGCTAGTCACATGTATGGAATAGTATTGTATGTTGGAATCTTAGTACTGGTGAGATTTCTTGACCAAAACCCCTTAAATTTAATTTTTGTCACTCAAGAGTGAGTTTGTGAAACTCTGCTGACTTGTCCTTTTTTTTATGAATATGATGTGGGCCATGATAATGTATGGGTTTGTATGTATTTTTGGATGTGTCTGATTTTTTTTAACATTGTTTCATGTTAGTACATAGTGACTCTTACTGTAGAAGTTTCTGGAAATTTGCACTCATTTCACTTGGGTGTGAATTTAATATTGTGTATAAACACGTGCAAAATGAAATCATTGAGGTACTTTGATCAGTACAGAAAAGTTATCGGTGGCTTTTGCCTTCAAGCCTGGAATTTCACAGAAATGCTTTGAATTTATTTTCTATAATATAGAAATCTTTCAGAAGTTAATTAAAAAGCTAACTACAGTAGTTATTTGAGAACTGACTACAGAAAGTAGTCTAGGCAAATAATCTAACATAAGTGAATGGTCTATTAAAAGAAAATGTTTGATGTCATTTGAAGCTCTAATTATTTTAACCAAGTGAAAAGTGGTGTGTGGGAAATGAAGTTTGCACAAGGAAGTTTCTACCAGCTTTTGCTCTTGGAAATGACACTTTTTGAAATGATGGGGGGAAGCTATCTTATATTTTATTTGCAAACTTGGAATGTGTTTTAAATTGTTAAATTTAAAACACTTGAATGGCAGGTGATGGAGTACCTTATTGGTGGAGATGTCAAGTCTCTTCTTCATATTTATGGATATTTTGATGAAGAAATGGCTGTTAAGTACATTTCTGAAGCAGCATTGGCTCTTGACTACCTTCACAGGCATGGGATAATCCACAGGTAAAATCTACTTTTTTTTTACTTCCAAATAAATATTTGGTACTTTGTGGTTTTTTTAATTTTTCATTCAAACATATTACCAGTCATGTCATAGTAACAGCTACCTCATTTGCTAGAGATTCTGGATGCTTTTTTTGCATGTGAATACTGCAGCAGTGTCATGAAACAATACCTAAAATGGAATCTGTCTGTATATAATAAGCAGACAAATAGACACTGCTTTCCCCTGCCTGCTCTCACCCGGTACAGTGGTGTATTAGCAACTATGCTGCCTTCTAGGTCTTCTCTCTCTGTGGCTTTTAATTAACAACTGCTAGTTCAGGAACTCTCTGGATACTGCAAGCCTGTAATGGTAGGACAAAGGGACACTGGCTATTCTAATGCTCTCCCTGTAGTGAGAGCTCTTTGCTACATTCAGTAGTGCTACAGAGAGCAAACGAGAGAACTTGTGCTAGAGGCTTTCTTTATCATGTGTACCGTCACGAGTAGGAGCTACATATTAGTCAATGTGATGGTACTACTTATCAAGAGCACTTGTTAAACCTGCAGAAACATAAAATGTGCAACTCTTGTGACATGTATGGTGGTTTTACATGGTCTGAGACATTTTACAATATTTAGTGCTAGATATGTTTAATTGTTTTGGTGTATTCCTCCAACTGGAATCTTCTGCTGGCTAATAGATGTTACTGAGAAACAGCTACAGTCCGTGTCTTCTATTTGATGTTTCTGATCAGGTAACTTTTTAAATATTGCACAGTTGTCTTTTTGCTAACTTCAACTATATTCATGTCCTCAGGGATCTGAAGCCAGACAACATGCTAATTTCTAATCAGGGCCATATAAAGTTGACAGACTTTGGGCTTTCCAGAGTTACTCTGAACAGAGGTAAGAGTTGTCTGTATCTTTTTGGTTGTATTAGAATGTATTTTTGTATCACATACCTATATTCTTGAATGCTCTACATACCCGTAGAGGGCAGCTTTTGATCAAATAAGCCCAAATGTTGCAATAATACCTGATTTCTAATAGGTAAGCACTGATAAGGTACATGCTAATAAAGGGTCTACTCTATGCATTGCACTTCAGAAGCTATAATATTTATTTTTTGGGACAAGGATCTATGAAATATGATCCAGAGCCATTTCTCTTGAGGGCTATGGTCTCAAAGTTTTCTATGAGGTCCACTAAGAGAACTCAAAGGGTGAATGAGTAACTCAGCCTTTTTCTTGGTATATCTCTGGCTGTTTCTGTCCTTCAGTTCATGTTTGTCTGTCCTTGTAGATACTAATTTCTGATTTGAACCTGGACTCTGCAGACGTTAATGTGAGAGACAGGGGGAGGTGGCGAGTCCCTAACAAAAGATTATAAATCAGTACTTTAGCATGTGAACATACTATTTTCAAGTAAGCAGAAAATACACCTGAATAGTCAAATGACTGTCTGGCACAAGCAATAAGCTGCAGGTCTTAAGGTGAATAACCAGTTCCTGAACTAGTTTGTGCCTCTAACCCTTTAACCAAAATAATGCTGCACAGCATCAGTTTAGTTTTTTGAGACAGCTGCTGGTGGGTACTTCCTTTTTATATAGCTAAAGGAATTTATAAAATCAGAGCTGTCTATGGAGTTTCTGATTCATGGTTTTTAAGAGCATAGAGGAATGTCCAAAGTATGCTGTATTTTCTATAATACAATGCTTTAATTGAGAGGTTCCAGTGGGACAGATTGTGTCTGGTTGAACATTTGTAAGCTATAAGCCTGCTTACATCTAGTGAGCAAAAGATGGCATCTAAGCTTAGATTCTCAGCTATGAAAAATTTGTCTGTAGCTTTTTTTTTGAGATGTCTTTTGGAGAAAAGGTAGGTTTTGAATCAAACTTAGCATCTTTGCCCACAGGCCATAGGCTGGAATTGCTACCTCAAAATTAAAGCTGGTATCAAGTTAGAAATGTAACACTTCCAACATAGTGTGTTGGAAAAGAAATTGGACTCTTAGTTTCTGTATTTATAAACTGAAATTTTATGATGGACGTACAGGAAGAAACAGCTTGTGTTGAATAAGAATGTGTGGGTATGTCTTCACTTGGGTCTGGTAGCTTCTTTTGTATATTTGTTCAGTATGTGACTAAATTATTTTTTTTCCCTCTTGATAAACTTAAGCCTGCAATCTTGCAAATAGCAAAAGGAAAACCTGACCTGCTTCGTATTTTTCTTTTGTCTGTTTTAGAGATAAATATGATAGATATCCTTACTACACCATCAATGGCAAAGCCAAAACAAGACTACTCACGTACTCCTGGACAATTGTTGTCCCTCATTAGTTCACTGGGCTTTGTAAGTAATTTTTGCTGTCTTTAAAGTACTTCATTATTTTAGTTTACTTACTATCTTAAATGGGGAGTTAAAAGGCTATCGTTGCTACCAGCTGGTAGAATGACTAACATGTTTCCAGTACCTTGAAGTTCTGAGGTGGTTACCTTGGATTATATTTCAAATGGCTGACTATCAGTTGTGCTTCAAAAAACTTGGTAAATAGGCATGGCTAAGGTCCAATGCAAATGTAATAAAGAATGTGTGTAGGCATGGCTAAGGTCCAATGCAAATGTAATAAAGAATGTGTGAAGTCATGTGAAGTCATGCTTTCAATCCTGGATGCTTTCTTCAGGCTCTATTAACTTTTAACTCTGCTTCTTCCTGCTCGATAGTATACTCCTGCTGGAATGAAAATGCCAGAGCGCAATTCAAGTCAATCATCTGACAGTCTGCATGGTCTGGCTTCTCCCTTACCTATGGTCCAAAAGGAAAATACCCCTCTTTCAGCTAAATTATTCAAAACCTGTGAGTATACCAAACCTTGTACTAAGTAATACCCTTGTTGTAAGGCTGAGGTCTTTTAATTTAATGTGAGTAGCTTGCACCCACTTGGTAAAAGGTGTGCTTTCATCAGTGTCTTGCTGTCTACCATTCCTCCAGTACTTAAGGTCTGATGCTTTTTCATCTATGCTACTTAAGTCATCTTTTAATTTATTTTTTTCAAATGCACAATGGCGGATTTCAAGATCACCCTTTAAGGCTTTACAGAAAGTGTCAATTTTTGGCATACTTCCGTTGAAAATTATTTAATATAGCAATGTGTGCTTTCATTTAAATTGTCTTATCTTGCTGCTTTCTTATTTCTAACCTGAAATGAGAAAGAAGGTTATTATGTTGCTAAAGTTCATATTGCTTTTAAATTCTTTAAATTCCCTAGTTAAAAAAAAATGAGTGAATTGACTATATAGAAAAGATGACAAGAGAAATTATGTCCTGCATAGCTTTCCATAACTTCCTTTGATGTGAAAGCTTGACAGCCTGAAGCTGGTTGATGTATGTTGCCTATATGTATCAACATTTTGTTTTTCTCTCAAGATCTTGATACTTCTCAATTAACTCCTGTGATGCCAGCGAGAAGTTTAACTCCTACGGTACTTCAGTCAAGAAAAAGGTTTGGTACCTCCAGTGCCAGTAGTCAGTTGAACACATACTTGTCCAGTATGGAATCAGAATGCTGCAGCAGCCCCAGGTGGGAGAAAGATGTAGAGGTCAGGACTGTTTCATCTTCCTGCTGTAAATTAAAATTGGCTTGTACTTGTATGTGCACTGTTGCAGATCTCCTCTACTTACTTCCCCCAGTTATTTCAAGTGTAGAGAAGCCTTCCGACAGGAGAGGGAGCAGAGGTTGCAATCCTTGCTGAGTAGGTTCAAACTAGTATTGTTTTTTCTTCAAACAAATAGTAGTCCTGTGCAACATAGCAGGAAAAGCAAATGCATGTAGCCTGCAGCACAGGAGTGAAAGAGAAGGCCTGACTGAACAGCACTGATTTAGCCCCAGTCTTCACCAGGTGGGCAATGCTGGGAGCACTGGCTCTTTGGAAGCTGACTTTGTCCCTATAGTTTTATAAGCTCAACATATAGACAAAATAATTTCTTTAAAAGGCAGAACTTTTTGGGGGGAATAATAAACGCAATACACTTCAAACTTCTATTAGCTATTAAAAATTGCAAATGTTTAAGGTTTATGTTTCTAAAGTTTTGTATAAACTAACCTCACACCAGCAATTATAGCTGATACAAAATACTTTCTCCTGTTTTAAACTGTTAATGAAATTCTGTACAAATACAGACCTGAAAGAAAATGTGGCTGTGCCACTGTTCCTATTTGGATTTCACACAAAACCTTATGTTTAAAATAACTTATAATTATTTATCTGTCCACTTCCCAAAGTCTTGATTTTAGTATTGTGTTACCAAGGTAGTAGTAGTATCAGATTTTCCTTTTGGCACTCTGAAGTATAATATGCTACAGGGTAGTATGGTGAGGTTTTTTCGTTTGGGGTTTCTTGGAAATGGAGAACAGTTGTAGCTTAACTTTTTAACATAAAATCACAAATACAGCTTTAATTGCTGTATTTCTTTTTCCTTAAGAATTTTAAAATACTGTGTTTTCTATTCTAGCAAGCTTATTTTACGTTCTTAAAGTCAAACTATCCCTAATTTAGTTCTGATTTTTTAATGTATTATGTCAGGTTTGTCACTACTAGTGGTTATAAGGAATAAATAATGCTTGCCAATTTGTGGGTTTTTTTATGGAAGTAGAAACAAGGTATTTTAAAGGACACATTTCTATAATGCTGTAACCCTATTTTTCTTGATACTCAAAACTTAATGTGCTCATTTGCAGCAAGGTGAAGAGGAACTATGTTCCACAACAGGCAAACCAAGTGACAGTGGGTCAGCTCTCCTTTCGAATGTAGAATTGCTGAATAGCAAAGGTATTGAAGTTTTAAAGAGAAAAGAACTGGAGTCTGCCATCTCTCCCATCAGCAGCAACGATTCTGGCAGTAGGCAGAAGTTGGAAAGTGAACATCCTGATATAACAGATACTCCTGTGACCACACTGGATGTGAAAGGTTTAGTCAGAAAATGTCTTTCAGAAAATAAGATTTGGGAAGAAAAACTCTTCACAAATAGAAGAGATACAACTAATGAAACAGCAGAAGCCTCCAATCAACAACACTCACCTTCAAGGCAGAATGAACCTGTCAGGCCTATCAAAGAGGAGGAAATTTTTGAAAAGCCAGGTGTAAAAAGAAGCTTTGAATTAGTTGACACTAGTCCTTGTCAGGAACTTAACTATGTTAAAAAAACCAATGCTGAATATAAACGTGGCTGTCAGATCTCAGAATTTCCAGCAAACAAAAGGACAGGTTTGACAACAGAAATTCAGTCTTTAATGCTTTGTGATGATGGATGCCTAGGTGACACCTGTAAAAGCAAGGAAGTTGTTACGAGTTCTGTTGGTAACCAGCAAACAGCAGAAAAATCACTTACTCCAATTATAGCCAAAAATCTTATGTGTTATCTGGATGCAGACTATGAAAAGGATGATAAAAAGGAATATATGAACTCAAGTTTTCTGGGCACTGACGATGAAAAGCCTTTAGGAATCCTCAGTGCAGATTCTGACTTATCATTTCCTGAGATGTCCGCTACAGAAAGCCATTTAGAAAAGCAGCTTTTAGACTTGGACAAGAGTGTTAAAGACCTCTCCTTTGAGGAGCCAAAACCAGAAGGCATGTTAATGACATCACCAGAGTCCCGAGATGCCTCACAAAATGGAGGGGAAGCGCATACTGCCCAGGACAGCACACCATTGCCTCATGAAAAGGATAATGACCAAAAACACATGAAAGAAACTGATCTTGACACAGTATCTTCTCCTTCAGAAAAAATGATGGAAGCGCTGAATCTTTTTAAAAAAAATGCTGTTGTTTTTCGGAGTTATAATAGTCCAATTAATGTATCCAACGTGTCTGAGCCATGTAGCATGGCTTCCTTAGATATAATGGATCTTTCACCTGCTTGTAGTGGCTCTTACCCAACAGCTATTACTCCATTACAGAAAGGAAGACCTTATAGGGTCTATCAGGTATGGAAGGAGATATTAGTGATCTGAAATTATTTCAGTTGTTGATTTAGGGAGAACTGGAGTAGTTTGAGGTAATCTGTCAAAGTGATCTTTGTTGACAGGCTTTCTCTTATTGCACTTGTGTAGCCAAATTAATAATTTCTGTAAGAGCAATAGCTGAATGTCCACTGGTTTGCCTCAGGCTCAACATGCATTGTCTGACCACCTTCTGGGAAGTCCTTAGGTCTTACAGTGAACAGGTTCATCCAGCTATTTAGGCTCTAGTTTTAGGATTTAAAGCTTTCTGGCAGAACTGGCACTGTGTTGAATGATTTGGTGTCACCAAAAGGGGGACATGTAAAAATGTTATGTGTGGGGAAAGCCTTTGAACTGCTAGCTTCTGTTTCATCTGCATAAAATTTTAATTGGCTATGAAACTTAGCTTGTATTCAGCTGAAATGGAGCCAGAGTAGTATGCACTTCATCTCCTGAGAAATAAATGACTGATGGCATTATACGTTTTTGTAACTTAGATATGAACAGGAGTATGCCTTTTTTGTATAGAATCATAGAATTGCCCAGGCCGGAAGGGACCTCCAAAGGTCATCTAGTCCGACCCCCCTGCAGTCAGCAGGGACACCCCCAACTAGACCAGGTTGCCCAGGGCCTCATCGAGCCTCTCCTTGAATATCTCCAGGGATGGGGCCTCAACCACCTCCCTGGGCAACCTGTTCCAGTGCTCCACAACCCTCACAGTAAAGAACCCTCTCCTAATCTCCAATCTAAATCTGTTCCCCTCCAGCTTGAAGCCATTGCCCCTTTTGTAATTCTTTTTAAAGTCACTTCATTGTGACCTGATTACCTATTCTCTATTTTAATAGTGGATTCTACAGCCTTTCTGGCATAGTGATAGTGAATTGATCTCTGCTGCACTGAAGATAAAGTTGGAAACAAAATTATACAAGATATATGGGAATTAAGGGTATATTGCAAAATAAAGAACGAGAGTGTCTGCAAGATAATGTAGTAGTATCTCCAGGTCGTAACAGAAAATCGTTGCAGTCAGGCTATTGGCTACAAGTATTTATTGATCTCTTTGCAAGCCTGCGTATTGTATCTTCAAATAATGTCCCAAATTACTTTCAGAAGGTTTGTGTAGCATCACTAAGTCTAACCTGAGCAGAACTTCATCTGCAGACATTATGTGACCCATAGGATACAGGTTAAATAATAAAGGGTTTATTTAATATATTTTTAGTACATCTGGTATGTAATATGTGAGAAATTCAGGATTCTCCTTTTTATTTTAAAGGTATTTGATATACATGCTTAATTATTCACTGGTTAATATTAAGAACTCAGTGCTAAAATTGAAGGCCATTTTGACATTATCTTCAGATTTGAATTTGAAAGGAGTTTTAAGATTGGTTGGGTTGGTTTTCTTGGAGACATTACTTGTGGATCTGACACTAGAGGAAGAACTAAGGGAAAAGTGCCTTCAAGAGTAGGCATAGATTGACTGCTTACATTTCAATATGGTTGATATGATGAAATGGAAGCGTGTTTCATATATACTTTTTAAGGGAACTTGCATTTCGTGACATGTTCTTAAGTATCTACTGTTACACCCATTACTAAAAGTGGAGATTAGAGTTTTTCTGCTGGTTTTGTTTGACATCTGAAATCCTTGTTGCATCTCTTAAGACACCCCGTCAGGGAGATGCTGGCACGCCGTATAGGACTCCAAAGAGTGTAAGAAGAGGAGCTGCCCCAGTAGAAGGTGAACGCATCCTAGGAACCCCAGACTACCTGGCACCTGAGCTGCTTTTGACAAAGCCTCATGGTAAGACAAACCGACCATGGAGTTTGTAAATACTTGAAAGGTGACATATTTACAGTTCTAAATGTCTCTAGAGCTCTAAACCCTTTAAGAAATACAAGAGGAATTTTTTAAAAATACCATGTTTGCTTCAGCTGCTCCTTCCATGTACTCCCCCCTGTGACCAGAGGTTTTAACTGTCTCACATGGTCTTGCCTGCTGCTAATCTAATACTTTGGAAGCTGTGCTTAGGCAGCCCAAGACTTGTGTGTGCCTTGGAATTACAACTTGGTCATCCTGAGTGTCCCTAAAGATTTTGAGGGAGGCGGAAGAGGGGGGAGATACATGAAACTAGTGAAATTTAGTATGAAAAGATTAAGCCTCCAATTATTCTTAAAATGTATTCCATGTTTATTTATATTAGTGTTATGTGCATTCAGACAAATTCATGGAGTTGCATTAAAGTCAGTTCTTCAGTTGACTGACCTCATCAAACACTTAAGATTTCTGGTAGGATCTTTCATTTAAGTGGACAGTAGTAGCCATCAAATACTTTTTTTGCAAAATGCTGTAAGAAAATGTGATAGCACAACTTGAAAGTGCCTGAATTTCTTTGGCTCAAATCCTGAGCACCACTGAGATTAACAAAAAGTCTGAAATATTTTCCAATTAACTTGTAAGAACCACTAACAAGAAAGAAGTGCAATGTATCCCTCATACATTTGTTTTATTTATAATTACACTTTATTTCCATCTCAAAGGTATATTTTTATTTTGTAGAGCTAATAGTCTTAGAAAAACTATATGAGATCTTCATTGAGAAATAGTGATTACTAATCTGTGGAACAGTAGAATTCTGCTGTCTGCAGCCAATATATATTAACTAAAACTGCATGAAGATATTTAATAATTCAACTAACTAAAATTATTAAACATATGTGGTTGTTGTTTTGCGCTTCCATTTAGGAATCCTGGTTATTTGGCAGGCATTAAAAATGGGTAATAGTTTGGAAATGTAATCAATGCTACTTCCACAATGTGAAACTTGGTTGCAAAGTGACCTCCATGCAATTATTGAGTGTTTTCAGGACTTCAGTGATAACTTGCAAAGAGCCTGGGATTTATGTCAGGAAATGTCAAATCTCCATTACCTTCAGTAAAGCCAGAGTTTTCTGGCTTTGGAACCCAAAACTTTCCCTTACTAATTATTTCTGTTGTTGTTAACTTGCTTGGAAAAGTCATTGTAATCATAAACTATAACAGGTTAGAAACAACTAAAATAGCTTGTAACTTAGATTTAACATTGCTACCTTTCTTTATTGTTGAGTTACTACCTCAAGAAAAATTTGCATTGCTGTGCCATCAAGGAATCATAATCAATACTTGATGTTTGTATTTGTTACAGCTTTTTGCAATAATTGTAATGTTCTTGCTTCATTGTCTTTTTATATGCAGGGACTCTGATCTCTGGTGAGTTTGCTGTAGACTGTGCAGAAATGGAGTGTTCAGCATAACTGTAACCAGTCAAAGTATAACTAGATCACAATTTCCAAGATAATTGTTAGGGTGAGCGATCTTTCTATGTAGAAAGATGTGTCCAATATGCACTCCACGCAGTATCACTGTGACTAGATTGTTGAAATTTGCACTCATAAGCCTATACTTCAGGAATAAAGTCAGCATTCTTAAAGAAATTGTGTGATGGGAAATAAACCAGAGACACTTTTTATTATTGCTTTCTTTGTGATCAGTCTGAACTATTCTGCGTATGGGTGAAGAAGGATCAGATGCTCAAGACCTGATATTTCTATTTCTTACTTCAAATAGTGATAGGCATGATTTAGCAGGGATATGGTGGGAGTTAATCTAATCTGTAGTTAAACTTTGGGTGTGAAAAATTTCTGCTGAAACTGAAAATTGCTGCTTGTGTTACTACATTCTTCAGAGCTGTGATCTTATTAGACTTTGGCTGAAGCTGGGAATATTTTAGCTGAACATCCAAGTACCTCTAACAACAGTGAATGTGATCTCACTGCTACGATATGCTTAGCTTGGTGGGGCACTCTTACTGCTGTTAAAAGTTGCTAGAAGTTCATTAGATTACTAATTAAACATTTCAGTATTCGGCATGTCTAAACTCAGACAATAGTCCTTTTGAAATAGCTGAAAATACCTGTTTTCTTAGCTTGGAGGTGTCTTAATTTTTTTATATGCCAAAAAAGCCATGAAAAATTACACTAATTCTCTTCTGAATTTTTTTTTTTCCTTCAGCAAGTGTTCTTTATACAGTGGAGTGGGCATGGCTTAAAGATGCAGAAAGCTTAGAATGCATGCAGTGGTGTCTGGGATTGCTTTGCCTGCTTGTTTAAGTGGGTTAATAAGATGAGTTTGGAAAAAAAACCACCCAAAACCAAAACAACACCCTTGAACATGGAAAACCAAATTATTTAAAAGCAAAGGAGAGATAGCTAATAACTAGACATTGCCCTAATCAACTTTTAGTGTAATGGAAAGTAATTCAAGCTGCTTGTGTGCCAGCTCCTCTCTGCAAGCTGTCTTCCAATATTTTGATCTAAATTTAGATGAATGAAAACTAAGTTCAGACTCCAAGTTTGAATTCTTGGAGTTTTCTAAAAGAACCAAGAGAAAGATACAACATGAATGTTAGAACATGGAGCATTCATCTAGGCTCTAGAGTAGTTTTTAAAGACAACTGTTTCTTATCACAGAACAATCTCTTGGAGAAGTTGGCTCCTGGATTCTTTGTGATAGGAGTTAGTAAGTAGATTGTTCTTAAGAGTCTCCTTGCTTTTATACCCCAGTACTATCTAAAATGAATTGAGGAACAGACTGGATTTTAAAAGCCCTTTAATATATTTTTAATCTTCTGCTTGATTATTAAGTACAACTTATTTTGTCTTTACTTTCAAGAAATTTTGCAGGATTTAAACACTCTTCAGCTTCTGCCATGGCTAATCTTCAAATCTCTGCAAATATCATTAAATCTTTGTTAGTGTAATGACCTGGATTTCTCTTATCAGGTTCTGCTGTAGACTGGTGGGCCCTTGGAGTTTGTCTGTTTGAGTTTCTAACTGGAATTCCACCTTTTAATGATGAAACACCAGCACAAGTCTTCCAAAATATTTTGAAAAGAGGTAATCTGCTTCAGTAATCAGGGAAAGTATGTATTTCCAACGCTTGTTTTATGGTTTGAATTGCTGACTTATCTGTGTCTTGTCTGTAGATATTCCTTGGCCTGAGGGTGAAGAAAAGCTGTCTGATAATGCCCAAAATGCCATAGATATTCTTCTGACAATTGACAGTACTAAGAGAGCTGGACTGAAGGGTTAGTATTGAAACTATCTTGTGTTCTTTGTAACTAATTAAAAATTTCAAAGTGGTGATGTCCTCCTCCTGAAACTTAGACTAAAACTTTAATATCTATTTAGGTTCCATGTATAGTGCCTGAACACTTAACAAATTGTGGTATTTTCTGTATTTCTTGATGGTTTTCCCCTTTTGAAGTAGGAAATTTTTTGGGGTGGAATGTTTTGGGTTTTTTAATTGAATTTTTGTTTTGCTTTAATGTAGTTCTGCTATGGGTGTTTAGTGTTTGACATCTGACATACAAAAGCTCGCTCATCTAACTCAGTAACAGGTATTTGGGTTTTTTTGACCTAACTGATTTTATGAACCTTGATTAAAAGCCTATAGTTTGGGCTCCTACAAAAGTTATTTCAAAGGAGCTTTTTCTTAGGAATCAGCCTGCCTTTACTAAATGTATAGGGGAACACAGTCAGATAGTATGTACTACACAAAGTCTATATAATTTTTTGTCTCTGGTAGAAGGACTTAAACATTTGCTATTGTGGCTGTAACTTAGAAAAAAAACAATAAATTGATAACAAGAAGGAAGCTTAGAGTGAGATCTTTTGGAAAAAGAGGAAGAAATCTTAGAAGAACTGCCCAAGAAGTCAATAGATTTCTAGTGTAAAGGAAATTATTTTGGAAATTCTTATTTGTGAAGAGACTAAAGTCTAGAAGCTAAAACCAGGCCAAATCAAATTAGCGAGGGAAAACAGTTATAAATGAAGATCATGGTGTCAATGGGGAATCTGTGGCTCTTTAATGTCTCCCAAAAGCATCTGATGTCTTCATTTGACGATGTTTTAAACGCAAGTTATTGTCTTTATTCCTGGATATTAGAGTGAAATCCAATTGCTTGTCCTGCATAAGAATTTAAACTAGATGACATAAAGGTTTCTTCCAATCTGAAGCTCTTGGAAATTCATTCTTTGTCAGGACCTTTTAGCTTTATCTGATCTCTTTATCCAAGCTATAGGCTGCTGAAGTGATGTTGGATGAGTAGCTTCCAGGACAACCATCAAGTTTTTCTCATTGTAATTGAGTTTCCATCATAGTTTGTCATCTTCTTCCCCCCTCCCCAACACACATGCTCTCCCTCCACTTGTCTATCGTCCCTGATTTACTGAGAAATCCCAGTTATGTCATTTCCTACTGCTGTGCTTCTACAAGCTCAGTCTTTCCAGATACGAGAAGCTTTAAATCAGCACGTGGCAGAGAACATTGGTATCTAAAATTTTTTGGGTTTGTTTTTTACCCTCCCCTTCAGAGATGTGGGCAGAAGCTGCCTGCCAGCTGTGGTACACATTAATGCTGCTTTGGCAAAGACCCTGCAGTCTGCTCAGCTTCTCAGCTGCACACAGCTGTCAGTACGTGAGAACTTTAAGAGCAGAACTACATACAGTTCTGAGACAGTGAATCTGTGCAGGGTCCTGCTACATGTATGATTGCTGAAGCTGTTAGAAGATCAATTCTCTGATTTATTGCCTTTTGTCTAAAATAAGCTTTAGTATTGTCATATTATTTGACCAGATAATATAGAAATAATAAACAAGTGTTAATGTCTTACTGTCTATCAGCTAAAAAAAGCTTGTGATATGTGCTTAGAACTAAAAATTTGTAGTGAGTGTTTGTTTTGGCTGAAATTCTAGCTCCTCCTAAATGTGATTTTTTTTTTTTACTTGTCCTATTTTTTTCTATTTATTTTTGAATTATTTTTATGGTGCAGGTAATAAAAATGTGGGGTTTTTATCCCACTTGGCTGAAAAGGTGCTTTCTTAGATTGAATCGAAGTAGCAAAGCCACTTTCATCAGGGAGTGGTGTTTCTAGGTTATGCAGAAGACACATCAGATCCTGTGGGCCAGGAAGTCACCTCCTGGTCACAACGGACAAGGCAGGGGGAGTTCTTGAATTGGAAAGTCTTGCAGTTTGGTTTGTTATCTCACCTTCAGGCTGGGAAGGAGGAATCTGGTGGTCTGTGGTAACTTCACCGTGAGGGTGTTCAGACTTCTGCGGCTGGTGGTAGGCCAGAGGGGACTGTAGGAAGCAGAGGAGAGCTGCTCCATGGGCTGGCAAAAGGCAGGTGGCCTGGAGTGGAGGAGGGTTGGAGCGACTCCTATGTGTCTACTCAGCACAGAACTTTGGAAAAATTAGACCTTGAAGTGATGCTTAAAATTTCTGTGGTGCCCTGGCATGAGAAATGCCCCTAGGGCACCTCGGATCCACTCTGTGCCATGTAGAATAGGTTCCTTGGCTGGGGAAGGCAGTTAGTTGGCATGACAGTAGTTTGATCCCCCTGAGGTTGGGGGTAATCAACACCCAATTACAATTTGCGCTTTTATGAGTTTCCAAATCAGCAAAATAAAGCAAATCTACTGACAGCTGTGCATCAAGGGAACAAAGTGACTGTGGGGCCTGGACAAAAGGTAGTTTATAATGCTTATGTGAACTTCTGTTTCAGAACTGAAACATCACCCCCTCTTTCATGGTGTGGACTGGGATAACCTACAGAACCAAACCATGCCCTTTATACCTCAGCCGGATGATGAAACCGATACCTCTTACTTCGAAGCAAGGAATAATGCTCAGCACCTGACTGTGTCTGGATTTAGCTTATAGCATCAAGATAAGTGAACTTTTTCCATGTCTGTGCACACTTACAGGTGACTCTATAACACTAGTTTGGTCTTAACTAAGTTTCCTTGCCATGTTTAGAGTGTGTTTTAAGTTATTGGTCTGTTTTTATTATTGTATCCTTTATTCTAAAGTGAACCTACTGTACGAAATTCCACTGGTGTTAAGTTCCTTAGTGCTACTTTTTATCTCACTTCCTGCACCTTACTAAGAGGCCAGAGCGTTGTGTTTCTTGGAGCCAATAATGCTTGGCAGTGATGGGGCTTTGTTTTTTAACTCCAGTTAGGATGTGTGAAGTTATTTCCCAGTTAAATGTAATAGGGAAAGGACATAATTGCATGCTACTTGTATCTAATGAGAAGTTAACTGTTGGTGGTTCAGTGTAATGGCAGTCTTGTCTGGGAGTAGTCCTTTCTGACCAGTTTGAATATATATCCACTGGGCAAAACTGATGGTTTTATTCAAGGTGGAAAAGGGAAATGTTAACGCAGCATTGGAACATGTTACTTCTGTTTATCTTATCCCATAAAGGGTTAAAAGAGACAGTGCTGTGCAAAGGTGACTCAGCTGGATGTGGCATGTGAGATGACAGTAGTTCCACTGGTTAGTACCCTTCCCTAGACAAATGGGGCAGGGAAAGGATACTTGGGGCAACTCAGTTTAAATTGTTGCATTGTGACCACTCATCTGCTATAGGCAGATGAATTGTACAGCCTATGTTTTAGCAATTACTCAGCATTTTCTATTTAAAACAAGTATCTGTGATTTGTGTTCACTCATCAGACAATAGAAAACAAAAAATCACCTGAGTATTATCTAACAAGTGAAGTATTATTCATAGTGAAGCTGCTGTGTATTAAAGAATATAGTGCATTGCAAATTAAGACTGTTCTGTGAACTCACAACTAGATCTTTGATTTTACTAGAACTAAGTTACAAGTAGATATTCAGTATTATAAGTCCTAATTAGGGAGAAGTATGTTTAAATCTATGCAACATAAAAGTATGTTTAAATCAGATGCAACATAAAAGTTGCATCTGCTCAGTTTTAGAGACTTATTTGTAGATCATTAATATTTTTCTTGCATAGGTATCTTTCTCAGCTGACTTACTGAAGATTTTTAGGTTTGTACTTGCTAGATAAAGATCACTTGTGCTAGATGGCGGTGGCAGCCAGTGGCCACATGCCAGAAGTCAAGCATTTTGCTCGTGATTTTTGCCAAGTGGCTTTAGAGTCTCATGAACTTGATCCTTCTTGCAGGGGGAGTGAGTTGTCCCTTCATTGCCCTGCTTCTTGGAAAACTAGATTTATTGATGGAATTCTGAGCACACAGTGTCTGCTGGGCTTCCTGCTGTTCCCTCAGGTAGCTGGGAAAGGAACGGGAATGGTGGAGAAAAAGGAAGTCTTCCTAGAACAACCCCTAACAGCTCAGTTTATTGCAGTTTTTAGCACACTTGTGTCCAGCTAGAGGTCAGTAACTGGCACACTGGCTTATAGAGAAATAGCATCATGGACAGTTCTGCCTGCCCCTTTCACTGCCCAACACTGAAACGCTGCTGGCTGTTCCTGAGCTACTGGGTTCCAGTTTCAGCATGGTCAGGTTTCACCTGGGGTTACTCTGACAGTAAAATGTATTCTTTAGCTCTCCACTATGTTCTCAAAAAAAAAACCCACCAAACTTTGCACATTTTGTGTAAATATATAAAATAATGCAATCCTGCTGTTGCTGCTTCTTTTATTGTCTTTAAACTGTCTTATATTTTTGATCCTGCGGGGGGTGCGGGAGGAGGATTTTTACCCAAAGTAACACTGCCCCTTTCCCCAGCAAAGACAGTGGTTCTAAGTAGGGAAATACCTAATCCAGGTGTCTATGCCCTTCACTTCAGAACTTGCTAACACCTTCCTGCAATCCTATTATGAGCTACCCCAGCGTATTTAGTGGCAGGAGAGCAGAGTCCTTAAGTGGTCTGTAAGCCCTGCTGGGAGTCTGCTCCTCTACAGTAACCAAATTGAGTCAAAGACAGGGGGTCCTGAGGCTGGAACACACACTTGTACCTGGCTCTGTTCCTATTAGTGGGCAGAACATCTAAAAAGCGTAGGTGTGCTCTGGAGAAACCAGAGGGAAGATGAAGTTTGATTCACTGCAGGAAATGAGCTGGACACATACTTCAGAAGTGCAGTTTTGAGCTGGGTCTAGATGTCTCTGGTGCTGTGAGAAGTGTTGTGGCTGCCAGCCCTCTCGAGGAGAGCACCAGCCAGAACAGCAGAGCCTGGTTCTGAGCACCAATGAGCTGCTTATGCTGCTTTCTCCAAGTTAAAGCTGTGTATCTTTGTATCTGGGCAAGTTATAGAAATTATTTGCCCTTACCTTTAAGATGGAATACCAGCTAACTAGAAAAGTGCCCAAATGAGGGTGAGTTTGAGCTACCCCAGTTCTGAGTTGCAGGTTATAAAAGTGATGTTGTGTGTTACAACTTTAAGCTCGAGGCTGCCTCTTCATAATGTACCAGCTGGCTCTTCTGTACAGCCAAAGCATCCAATGTACAGCATTTACTAAATGTTAAGAAAGTTAAAGATAAAATACAAAATATTAAGGGATTGATTTATTGAAACATGAATAAATAACAAGGATGGCATATGCCTACATTTATTTCAGCGGGAAGTTAACAGTGAAGTACCTTTAAGCCTGTCTGTACCATCTCTAAAAGCAAGAGACCTACATGTGCCATGGTTATGAACCTGGGAGCAGGCACTCCAGGCTGCTTCATCCTGTCACAAGACGTGCTGCTTCAGGAGGGGGTTTTTGAAAGTGACCTTCAAGCTCGAGTGTCCTTCCTGTAGGATCATTTCTATCAGTTTCTGATAGGAAGTCAATCACTCTGGGACATTCAAGCTACAGGCACAATGGCTTCAGGTCACAGCAGAACTTCCCTTCCAGCACAAGCTTTGTTCAAACCTGAGTTTTCAGTACATCTCATGCCAAAACTCACCCTCTGAGTGTTAGAGCAGTCTTCAAAGAGGTTCTGATCGTTTTAATTTTTAATTCAGCTTTACAAGAAGGAAATCAGAAGAGGGAAAGAGTAACTTAAAAAAAGCCCCTGTACTTAACTAAATACAAGATTAAAATTGCTCTGGTAAAACAAACATTAAATTCTGTGATTACATTTTTATACAGTATAGCTTGTATGAAAAATGTTTTCCAAACTATAAAAGATTTTCAGGAAGGACAAAAAATAACTTTCCTCAAGAATTACTTATAATACATAGTCCAGGTGGAGAATGAAAGCACGTCTATAACATGGTGAAATTTCTGAAGATTCAGATCTTAAGGATGGGTTATGTTACGATGTAACTCTTTATAGCAAATGAATCTCTTAGTTTTCTGTCAAATCTAATGTTAATGCATTTCCATTTTCCAGAGATTTAGACAATTTATATATTAATTCATTTTAAAACTATGTGTAAAGCATGCTTTAATCAAGCAAACTTCACAGGTTCTAACTCCATCTGTATATTGGTTAATAAATACTCTGTGAAAAACAAAAAAAAGAATCAGCACCAAAATTAGCTGAAAAGTTTTGTTTTGAAAGGAAGTAGAGGGATAAGAGAGAAAGAAATACCAGAACGGATATTTTTCCTAATGTGAGTTGGGCAAAGTCCATAACAGCCTAGGGCTAGATTAAATCTTATTTTAATTTGACATAAACTGACAATTAAAAACTTACAGTGCACTGAGGTTTTTAAAATCTTAGAGACACAGTTACAGAGCTGCTTTCAGCTCCTTTTAAAGCACCTTGTGCCTAAACTATGTATTTCAGTGAAAACAAGCTTTTATCCAAGTTAAAAATATAAGGTGCAGCCTCTTTAGATGGATCCTTTGTACCGCACACGGTTTCCAAACCTATATTTGACAGTCCCTCTGTCATTAATGGCTTTAACTCACAAGACATCTATCAATTCCCAAATCTTCTTAATGACCTTAAAGGATAAATGAAAGATGCAACTTCTTTTCTGACCAATTGACACGGAAACTTGCCCCACACTGGTTTAGCAGCAAAAATAACCAGTTGAATTCCTCAGAGCTATACTGCATTTTTCCAACAGCTTACAAAGTATTGAATTCATAGTTTATTAGTGCTTTCATCTAAGCATATGTAACCCTGTGGAAAAACAGGCAGGGATGTTGTGACCGTAAAATTTTTTCTCTATTAAAGTGACAGTTCTATATATTTTCACTTACTCTTTTACAAAGATGATATTCTCTTCATCATTTGAGATCAGCAAGACCAGTAATTACTGAAGGCCCATCCGCAAGCACATTCCAAAATAATTAATGTTCATATGGGTTTGAGGATGGAATTATTAAATTTACTTTATTTGTAACCTAGGAGCTGTGAATCATTCAAGTTTCAATATTGTTAGTCCTTAAATGTTGAGCTCAAAGGTAGTACAAAATATTACTATAACAGAAGGAACGTCATCCCAGATCCTGAGATTCTATGAGAATTCAGAATTCCTTCGCTTTCCAGGGCAATCTTCTAGCAGTCTTTAAGCAAAGTCATGACTTCTCAATTCAGTTTTCTAGAAGAGGAACCAAATAAATTAGTTTAATGTGCCTTCACATATGAGATGATTTTTCATTCATCATCTAAATAAAAAAAAACCCAATCCATTAAAGTGATGCGTGATGTGAATGACTCCCAACTCATTAAAGTACAACGCTGCTTCAAGATTCCTGGAAACTCACCCCCTTAACTTACAAAACAAGCTGCAAGTTTATAGAACTGGCACAACTTGCACCGGGAAGTACAAAATACCACTAAGAATTCTGAACTGCAGATGAAATTCTTCAGAGTGGTGCCCCTGGCTCAGCAGATCAACACTAACGAGCTGGTTTTCCAATGACTCCAGAAAATGTGCAACCAGAATGTTCTAAAATCATGAGCTGAATCTACGTTCTAAAAATCTCTGAGCATACCACATATAAAGTCAAATTAATCGATACTTTCCTACGCTGAGAAACTTTCAAGGCAAAGAAAACTATACATGTCCCCTCCTAGAGTTCCCAGCTAACGGAAAGCACTTCTGAGCTTCCAGAATTTCTTGTTGCGCGTTTGGCTTGAGTTCTTGGGACTGAAACTGGCACCTTCCCATCGTAACCACACCAAGGGCTCTGCTGTACCATCCAATTCTTCACAGCCCTGAGCCACATACAATGGAACGCTGAGCAAGTTGTCTCGAAAGAAAAAACTCAAAGAAACAGGATTTATCAAACCAATTAGCCTGGTATCCTCACAGCCCTGAGCCACATACAATGGAACACTGAGCAAGACGTCTTGAAAGAAAGAACTCAAAGAAACAGGATTTATCAAACCAATTATTTTCAAGCTCCCTGATAATGACCTGATGGTTCAGATACATGGTCAAAGCCTTATCAAGAGCGCAGCCTTGGATTCCTCTTACGCACACAGGCAGTATTTTACCTCCTGTCTAAATAACAAGATGTACTGTGTATTGCTTTAAACCGATGAAACGCAGTACATACACCCCATGGAATGCGTGTCTTTACCTTCGCTTTCTCTGAAGATACACATGTACCAACCACTGGGCAATAAATGGCCAGACAACAGCAAACGCTAAAACACCAGGAGAAATTTCAAAGGGCCACCATGATGGTTTCTAAGGAAAACAAAACCAAACAAAATCTAGTCAGCAATCTGTATGCACGTATTGAATACCACATAAGCATTTCTCAATCACTTCAAATGCTGCAGTGTCAAAGTAGAAAATACTGGTAAAACAAACAAAAAAGGATTAATCTATCAAATAACTTCTTCAGACAGAGATTATTTTTTATCTCCTAGTCAAGTGAGAGATGATCAGAAAAGCGCATACTAAGAGCTAGATATAAAACATTCATCTCATTTTCTGTCACTATTCACACTGCTTTTTACAAACAGAAAAGAAAAAATATTTTACCTTGTCAGAGGAGGCAGTCTGATAATTTGACTGTAGTGTTGCAGATTTTGCCTTTAAATACAAACAAAAGCTGGTGAGTAAAATAAAAGGAAACCGCAATTAAATTGTTTCTACTTCACAAAATAAGAATATGGAGTTTTTCATCTTGTGAAGGCTTTGCAATCTGTATATATGAAATTTAAGGAACAGAATCATCCCCACGCAACCCCCTTTCATCACTTCACTTTCAACTTGCCTCTCATGTTTCCATTACTCTTTACAGCATTTTTATTACATCTCGGTGTGTTAAAAAATTAATTAGTATCACTTACTGGACCTCTTTACGAGGCCTCCCTGTCCAGCTTATCATTGGAACTTTCTCAACTCTGCTCCAGTCCCTGCAGTTGCAACACAGAGTAGAAATCCCAGCAGCTTAATTTGCATGATTACATGACACCAGTCTATAGAAAGGCCAAAAGCCCTGTTTTAGCCTGCCCTGAGCTATAGCTACAGGCATGTCTAACAGCATAAAGGGAAGAGAATACTCTCTTCCAAACCTTTCAGGCAATCCAGAAAATGAGAAGTACCAGAAACTTTTCAAGACTATTTCCATACACTGTTGTGCTTCCACAAAAACAAAGCAGTCGGTTTTCTAGGTCTTTCTTAATTTATGTAAGTGTGAAACAGCAGCTTCTGTTTCTCTGCAGGTAAGGGTAGCAAGCGCAGCAGGAACTGCTGGGGAAGAATCTTTTATTGTTTCTTCATATATTGCTCAGGCAAAAAAAGAAAATCAATCTGTACCCAAACATCAGATTCTTGAGTAGCTGTGATGGAGCGAAATCACGGTTTTAATAAATCCTTTTCCCTGGCTGCCTTAGATTTGGAGTATGTGCACCCCACAGGGTACTACTTGTACAGTTCTCATTCTAAGGTAGATCAAAATACATCAGCAACTCAAACAAAACCAAACATTTTTAGGTCCAGCCATATTCACAGCATATTCTATTCTTCCAAATATACAGTATTTCCATTGAAACAGAAGGAAAAAGAAACATTACATCAATAAATATCTACACTTGCTTAAGACTTCTTTTGCCTTTCTTGTACACATGATGTGAAAATCCAAGACAGCTGGGTTACTTAATGGAGAAAATGCTATGAAGAATCAGTCTTCTGCTAACTGAAAAATGGAATCAGAAGTTCTGCCTGCAAACTTTTACCAGTCTGGAAGATTAAGACAATTTCTAACTTCCTTTGAAAATCCTTTGAGACCTACTGATGCAGAAATTATCTGGGACCTTGTATTACTAGCATTAACTATGGAATCTCTGTATAGCGACCGTGTAATGTATTCGTAACAATGGCTAAGTCTGATTACAAATCAGTAAATGTATGGTTAATTTCTAGGTCAAAAATGCATGTTTTGGTTTACATGTACAAGAGTCCTGAACTGTGTTCCTGAGTGTAGGTACCAATAAGAAATTTTAAGTTGGAATAAACTACAGAATATAACTGAAATGTCTTTACGGTTTAAGAAAATACTGACGGATTTTTTAATCTGAAAAAGCATATAAATATCCAAGGAAATTTTTAAAGAGTAATCAGATAACGTCAGTGAATAATACCTGTGAGGCTGTAACCGCCTCCAGCATGTGCAGCCTCTGGAGGACGTTCTGCATGTCTTCTTGCAACCGCATCAGCACCACGGCAATCTGCTCGTTGAGGCTGCCCCTGGGTCCTCTGTCCGATCCCCAGCGCTCTCCGTCCCCTCCACTGCCCATCTGGCCACCTTGAGAGCCATCTCCCAGAGGCTGAAGCCTATGCCCTGTGTTGAGGGAGAAGAAATAGATACATAAACCACAGAATGGGCTACCAACTCTACTGAAAATGATTAATTCTAACTGTTCAGTTCTCTCCCTCCCAAACTGAGTGTTGTACTCCTCATCGCAGGCTACATTCAGACAGTTGAAAAGCAGTTAGAGGTCACCACAACATCATTTGAGATGTTTGTTTCCCTACAGCTTCCGTGTGACAGTATCATTCAAGGTCCTAGAACTGCATAAACATTTAGCAAAAAAATCATTCATTCACATTCAGTCAAGTTCAGCAGTCAAGGCTGCCCTAGCAACAAGAAAGTAAGATCTGCCTTATTACCAAGGGTACGGGTGTTTTAAGTTTGGTGCAGTCTCCAGCTGGAAAACAAAGAAAACTGGAATAGAGTGATGAGAAAAGATAATTATTTGAAACCAATACTGCTCTTAAACTATCTACAGCCAGCCCATCATGTTCCTGCCTGCAAGCAGCAAACATAAGTAAAATAAGAAGAGAAGGGGAGATGGTTAAACTATAATATGTTCTTCATAATAGTTTTCGACGTAAATGTTATATTTGGATTTTCTTTTTAATTTTTGCATCTGATCACATCTAGATGCCATGCAAAAGGCATGCTATATGTAAATAAAATACTTTCTGATTTTTTTTTAGTACAAGAAAAATAAACTTTATCCTTGACATTACAGATCGTACCACCGGAATATAGTACTGCTCCTCGGTGACAGTATTAGAAGTATCACAGAATTAAAAAGAGCAGAGGTCCAACATAAATTGAACATTTGGACTAACGTGTGATTAAGAATCATAATCAGTATCAGAATCACTCCAAGGTGTGGCTAATACTCCAATTATACAGAAAACAATACGTCACTTAGACCTTCCCAAGATGTTCCATGGTTTCAAGTAAGACACCACAGAGCTACAAATGCGCATGCATTTCAAAACAAATAACTCGTAAATACACTCTTCTCACCCATAGACAGGTTCTGAAGATTACAATTCTAAAAAGACAGATGCCATAAACAGCAGCTGGAGTTTAAGGTAAGCCAAAACAGAAGAAGCCAATATGCTTATACAAGACCTTCACAGCACAACAAAATCCTCTTGTAGTACTTATTATGAATGAAATAAATACTCTGAAGACAAAACTGATTGCTACCTACTGTAACTATAATTCTGTTATCTATTTTTATTGTGAAGGACAGAAGCACTATATGGCATGACCATCTTACTGGACAATGCTGACAAATGCTTCTCACTTGTCAGTAACTTATGGCAGTCAGGAGAGTGGGGAAAACAAAAGCAGCATGCACAGTACCTCTCCCTCTTCTGACATTGTAAAAATCTGCTTTTTCTCCACCTTTCTTCTCCTTGTGAGGGCCTCCATTACTGGCTTTGCCATCTTCTCCTCCACACTTGACTTCGCCTTGCTCTTGAGCTGCTCCCTCTACTGTATCTCCAGGTTGGAGACTCCTAGAAGTCATGCAAGTGTTCCTTGGAAAATCCGTATTTTCTAACAGAAGACTGTGATCTACATCCAAGAAATGGGATGAATGCTTTAAAGATCCTTTAGCTGATGTGATGTTCTCCAAGGGCTACAAATTAACATTAGCAAGTAATTAAATTCTGTAAAATGTGACAGTTAACCAATAAAAAGGAAGAAGCATCATCTCTACTTTCACTTTAAGAAAATAGTTTGCCCAGAATTAATACTTTTCTTTTAACAGAACCGATAGAATCATAGAATGGTGAGAGTTGGAAGGGACCTTAAAGATCATAGAGTTCCAACCCCCTGCCCTGGGCAGGGACACCTCCCACCAGACCAGGTTGCTCAAAGCCCCATCCAGCCTGGCCTTGAACCCCTCCAGGGATGGGGCATCCACAACTTCCCTGGGCAACCTGTTCCAGTGCCTCACCACCCTCACAGCAAAGAATTTTTTCCTAGTATCTAATCTAAATCTCCCCACTTTCAATTTGAAACGATCACCCCTCATCCTATCACTACACTCCCTGATAAAGAGTCCCTCCCCAGCTCTCCTGTAGGCCCCTGTTTTCATCTAGAATGTGCTTACTATTGTCTAAATGTCCTTTTCAAATTGAAAAGGCATTTGAGGCAAATATTCTCAAAAGAGCAATACCACCTGGCATTACTTTAGGCATTTCCAACATACAGTAATACCCAATAATCTCTAAAATAGAACATTTAAGATCTGAAAATGTTTGCTTTTCCCTTGTAAAATTGGCTTTGCTTCCTAGACAGTGAAGTGGTGTCCCCACTCGGATCTGAGAGCCACACTGTCAGCAGTCAGGTGCCAGGAGCACCCTCGAGTAGGCAGCGTTTACGCTCACGGCAAAGACATCACCTTGTTTATTATCAACCTGTTCCAAACAGCTGGGCCGCACCCTGTACCTCTCACCAAACAAAAGAAAGGCACAGTGTCCCATCAACCTCTCACTCAAAATCCGTGCTGCAGGAAGATACTGATACTGGTCAGGTCACAATTACATGTCCTGAAACAGGACTGCCCTAAGGTGGCTCAAGCAACTCTTTGTTCAGTGCAAGGACAAGCACTTGCACAAGTATATGCTGAAGCCGACGGGGGACCTCAGCTGAAAAATAACTCCATGAAGAAACCAAAATAACCAAAAAGAGGGGTTAAAGAAATGGAAACTGCTGCCAAAATGCTGTTTGTCAAATACCAGTTCATAAACCCCGATCATCAGAACTGAAGACTGTGTCTGTTACATCTTTCCCAATAAAAAGCTGTATTTAATTCTTTAAACGAACCTCTTCTACTTTTAATTGATCCATCTGTAGTTCTACTTGTATATTTATTTACATATACCTGAACATTTGTTATTTTGTTCAAAACTAGAACTTTTCTCATGCAGGTTGGGAAATTCTGACAAATTATCCACCCACTTCAATTAAAGAATCTCAAACAAGCTTGAACAATACACAAGATGATTGGGAAATCACCTAGATAAGAGACCTTGCAGCACTTCTACCAGATCACCTTTCCCAACGTGCTTCATTACTGGCTAAAATTTTGATTTGCTAAAAGGAATTCTCTAGGATCCTCAAGAAACAGCTAGTCAAGAGAATGATGCAATATTCAAGTGCTTACTAGTCTTTCTGATCCCATGCATTATTCATCTATTCTTCCCAAACGAGGTGTTTGAGTACAATCTACAAAGCCCACACTTAGCCAGATCTCTGAAGGAGGCCCAAGCCTGTAAGTCAACTAACACAATGAGCAGGAGTACAAATTCAGTCAAAAGTTCAAGTGCTTACTAGTCTTTCTGACCCCATGTTATCATTCATCTATTCTTCCCCAGAATCAGGAAACCAGGTGTTTGAGTACAATCTACAAAGTCCACACTTAGCCCGATCTCTGAAGGAGGCCCAAGCCAGTAAGTGAACTAAGACAATGAGCAGGAGTACAAATTCAGTCAAAATTAAGCTGGCACAGTTAGTGCCCACCTTTTATATCAAAGTCAGAGATGTACATTGAGCTGAACAGAATACAAAAGAAGCCAGAATTCATTGTCATCTCCAAGTCAGAGATGTACATTGGAGCTGAAGAGAGTACAAAAGAAGCCAGAATTCATTGTCATCTCCCACTTTTTTTAGACCTAAGCCACTTTTCAGGCCTTCACTTAACCTACAGGCCATCTGCCAAGGCTCGCTCTTAATTTTTTTTAAGAAACAAATACAGGATTCATCAGGCCAGAAGAAGAGCACACAAAAAGCTCATTGTGACAAAGACACCCTCTTAGAAGTGTCTTAGAGATAGCTGGATTCTGGTCCCTACATGAGGGAGAGACCATTTGTGAACACAGCCCCACTTAACCTACAGGCCACCTGCCAAGGGTCGCTCTTAATTTTTTTTAAGAAACAAATGCAGGATTCATCAGGCCAGAAGGGCACACAAAAAGCTCATTGTGACAAAGACACCCTCTTAGAAGTGTCTTAGAGATAGCTGGATTCTGGTCCCTACATGAGGGAGAGACCATTTGTGAACACAGCCTTTAGTTTCTTTATACTGTTTTTGACAGCTGTTTCTTTGCAATGTTGTTGTCGATACTTTCCCCTCACATAAATTCTCTGGGGGCAAAAATTTCAAGGCTTTTAGGTCACTACTAACCAAGTGGTGAAAGAACAACAAGAATAACAACGAAAAACAGTAGTCCAAATAGGAGACAGGTATGCATGAGCTTATCCATTCACTTCTGCATGTCCAGGTTCACCTGACAGATAGGAGGCAAAACTTTCAAGGCTTTTAGGTCACTAGTAACCAAGTGGTGAAAAGACCAACAACAAGAAGAGCAAAAAACAGTAGTCCAAACAGGAGACAGGTGTGCATGAGCTTCTCCATTCACCTCTGCATGTCCAGGTTCACCTGACAGATAGGAACCTACTTAAAAATAAGCCTAACAGTTTCAAAATACACCAAGGAATACTAAGCCTCTACCTCTTCTAGTCCAAGTTGCTCCATAGAGTCACAATAAACTTCACTGTCTGAATCACTGGTTAAGTGCTGAGTTGCTGAGAACTCCTCAGTATTCTCTTCATTTGCACCTGTACAGAAAGGAGACACACAGAGGTTTTTTAAATGTGAGCCAATCCTACGAAAGGGTAAAGCAGTGAGTTAAAATGTCTAGGTGAGCTTCAACTCATGCCCCTTTTATCTACAATTGTCATCCTAAAGTTAGATTCTGAATAACGAGGTTATATTAATCTAGGAATTATATAAAACTTTTACTAATGGGAAAACTATGCACTATATTGACATTTCTGCATTAGAAGTTGATAATTTTCATTTTACCTTGTTCATTCCACTCTCAAAGCTCAAAGTTATCTAGTAGTTTTAAAATTATATATTTAAGACATCAGTTTCAACAAACTGGTATCTATAATATGTTCAGCCTTTGAGAATGACAAATAAGGTATTAGCAATTTTCACTTCACTACGAATTAGCTTTCGAAGGCAAATAGTGGTTGCATAGGTGGTACAATGATTTTAAAAGAAAACAATTGTATTTCTGTGATTTTGGGCCTCTCTGACTCTGAATTCATCTTTCTTTCTTATTTTAAACTGGTATTAAATTTGATTATTTATGAGTATTCTTTCTTCAGGTTTCTACAACTGAAAGACACCATTGCTAGTCTCTGAATCCCAGGATTAAGCTTTCAAGGAAAGAAATATTTTCCATGAAAAACATGTGCAAATGAAAGCATGGTCTTGCAAGGACAATACCTTGGTGAGCATTGTTATTAGCTGTTTCTATGCTGGGCTCTGTTTTCTTTACTTCATCCTCTGGGTTCAAGCCATTCAGGGCAGATTTGGTCTGGACACCATTCTGCATCTCCGGGGTAAGGCCATCCGTGTAACAGCCATTAGCAACAATACTTCCCAAATCCTTAGCAGCTGCTGATTCTGGTTTCACATTCTTATAGTCTGTAAAAGAACAAGAAAACTTTGAAAATAGAAATGTACGCACCTAATAGCTCAAAACATATTTCTTCAAGTAGCTAACTTTCTAATGGACTATACATATAATGCATCTGCAGAACAAAATACATAAAAGATCCACATTTGCAGGGATTGTTCTGTTCTTGTAAAAAGTGTAAATATAAAATGTAATTTGCATAAAGAGCAGATGATATTTAAAATGTAAATAAGCAAATCCAAAGTAGGTCTCTGATAAATTAAATAATTATCCTAAAGTCCTTGGAGAAAAAAACCTGCATAGAATTCTAAACATGTTATTTCATTTTGTTTTCACTTGAAGCTGGTATTTCTCAAAACCCTTTATGGAACCCCTAATGGAATCTCACTGAAAGTTCTGGGTTTTTTTCTCTTCAGAGAAAAAAAGTTATTTTCAATTCTATTGTTACAGCCCCCACAGCCATTCACAGCTCTTACAAACAGCACTGGCAACAAAACCCCAAAACAATACAGGATATAGACTTTTAGCAAACCTACCGACAGAAGTTTCTAGCCCAGTCAGGAATTGCGTGGCGAAGCTCACGGATCTGTACTGGTTCTAAATCTGATAACCCAGGCTGAGAAAGTGCCGTTTTTAACAAGCACATCCACATGTATTTGCATCTAATTTTCCCTAAGAAGTAAAGCATTCATCATCCCTTGAGATTTACTGTCACTTAGCTGGTCAAGAATGACTTAGGAAGATACAATGGACCAAGTGGGGAAAACATACCCTTTCCATTTAGCTGCAGTTCTTTTTCCTCCTCTTCACGAAGCCCTTCTTCTTCTGATTCTGCTCCACTATCGCTACTTTCAGCTTTTCCATTCACAGCCTTTATATTTGGAGTGGAATTCATGACATTACTAAGGTCTAAGAAAAATTAAAAGCGGAAAAAAAGATGTATTTTAAAAGAAACAAACATACAACCCTCCCCGCCCCCCTGTTATGCGCAGTTCTAGGAGAGCATCTCCATATTAGAAGATGTATCAAATAATGCCAGCTTTATTTCTCTAAGCTTTTCTTTAATTGGTTTAATGCTTCTCTGTTGTGGCTCACCAGAGGGTGCCTGACTACTGGTGAGGAGGTTCTGGGATTCTGAGAAAGCTACTGGAAGGAGACAGCAGGCCACTTTCACTACCCAGGTCAGATCAAGGCTGTTACCCATAGTTATGGTGTAGCTGCAGTCATCTTTTATCTAAAACTGATGTGGCCACGTTCTTTTAAACCCAGAAGTCAGCGTTTTTATAGAAGTTCCCCTTTTGGCTGAAATGCTTCAAAACTGCTCTCAATTCAAAGGCAAATTTTGAAACATTCTATTTGATTATGTGAGCAACAGGATTCTGAAGATACTGTAAATATTGTACAATATCCCTGCAGTAACTTAGACAGATGCACAATGCGGTAAGAAGACTCAAGTTAACACAGGCCTTTATCTAGCAAAGGACATATGGACATACATTCTCTGATTGCAGTGAAAAAGATGATGAAATAAATACACTGAGCATTTGTTTGCATGTCTAATTACATAAATATTAAAAAAATACATATCTTAAAATAGATAAAACAATAAATCCTTGTTTTACACATCTTTGACCACTCTAAGGATTATAAACAATTTACTCTAACTGTACAAAGAATTGAAAGGTAAAGATTCTTAGAAAATACTGAGAGTTTAAGGGACGGTCCTATCACCTCCTGTAAAAAATATATGGTTAAATACATCCCGATGATCATTTAAGCCTCCTACGTTAGGACAGAGTGACTAAGGTAAAAACACGGGACAGTTTCTGCGAGACACTGGCACAGCTTACATGTTGACTCCAAGGCTGAATTCTGAGTGTTTTAATTGTCACCACAGTATTCCATTTGCATAATTTCTATGTTCCCCTGCCAGAACCTTGAAAGATTAATTCTTATATTTAGGCTTAACATTAATCATCAAAATAATATCCAATTAACTGCAGTTGACAAACCAGCTCCACTAGTTTCTTTGCTGCATGGTAATTTAGAGCTAAGGGTATTCTGTTTTAATCTGGCAACGAAGAGCCTTCCCACATTCCTCTAGTTTCAAAGCTTATCTATAGTGCTTAAAAAAAAAAGGCAAAATAACTTCTTGCATAGAAATAATGAATATGTTAAATAACCTATCCATCTTAGTTTTACTGCAAGGTCAGGTTTCGGTGGGCACCCTGCATCACTGTTTTGGATTGATTTAATTTAACTTTTCTCTGAAGATTAAATTGTGCTTCTTTATTGTGAAAAGACAACTGGAAAAGCTATTTTCTGTCTTGTAGACTACAAGAATATAAACAATCACATGTTCATTTTCTCCTTCCTGAATAACACTCCTTATTTGCAAGAAAATTTCTTTCACAAAAGAAAACTCTCAACATATTCTCAGTTTATTTCTCATAAGCATGTTTCATTTACTGGGATACCCAATTCTCCAGATGTTTTTCTGAGAAGCAGCAGTGTGAGGAGGAACAGGTAGCAGCTAAGTCCTCACAGTGTGAGCATTAAGCCCAGACATCTCCCTTGGCAGGGCAAGGCAGGCATCACCTTCCCTTGGAAACAAAAAGGGAGTGGGGGCACAATCATCCAACGTGTCCTACCCAGTGTGGGAGTAAACAGGAAAGACAAGACTAGGAGGAACATTGAGCTGCCAAGGCAGGCGAATTCAAACTGTAAACCTCCTCACCTTACCCAGGATATTGTAAAAAGCTCCAGCTAGACTATAAGCTTTTTTTTCCTGTCAAGATTTACTTTTTTTCCTTTTGAAGGGAAGGTCTTGGAACATTCAAGCATGTTCTCTCTTCACTTAATTTCCATAAAGAGAGTATTAATTGGGGAACTTCTGAGCGATACGTTGTATACATTTAACCAAAGAGGTGGAACTGAGAGAAAGTATCACTGGTAACAGGTTTCTGGTACCATGCCATGGGACACCTGAAAAACTGAAATCCATCAGGATTGTATTTCTTCCACAAAGTCATTCTTAGCAACAGCACTCCTAAAGACCATAGCACGGCCTGGCTTTGATGCAGGCTGAAGCACTAAAGACCATAGCGCGGCATGGCTTTGATGTGGGCTGAAGCACACAGCACTGTACAGAGTTTTGGCCACTTTAAATACTATGTTTAATTGTGTACCTTTCCTCAGAACCCTAAAACTGCTATCCTCCTCAGGCCCATCCCCAATTGCTCTTACTACATGGTAAAACCGGTTTGCTTCCATTCTCGTTACTCTGTCTGATAAGAAACCAGTGATGATGACTAATACTGGGGGTGATAGGGCTAAAAAGCCAACTGGTAGTGACTTCTACAGTCCCTGGTGGCAGGCTGATGGCTACTCCCTGAGGAACTTATCATCTAACACCAATGAAACAAGTCCAGCAAGCTTTTAAAAACTTATTTGCTTCACCCACCCCTTTATTTTTTCCCCTTTACCCACTTCAGCTGCAGGCAAAATAGTAGTAGCTTTTTCTGTTTAGGTACTATAAAATCCCTCTTGGTTTATTATTTTCATCTCACTGCCTACAACACCGAACTGGGAGATTTGAGTTTTCTAAATCAAAGCCATACTGCTCTGTAGCCATACAAGGAGTTACATTCTGTAAAAGCCTGGATTATTTTTTTTTTAATTAATGTTATATAGTGAGACCTGTTTAACAGTTAACAACATGCAAACAGAGGGAAGAAGGATTTAACAAAAGAAAATGGCAAGATGGAAGTGTGAAGAACAGACATGCAGATCTCTACAAACTCTCACTAGATGTTTGGTTTTTTGTGCCAGCTCTATTAAGAGATTTCCTAAGAGCAATTCTATGTATATTTCTTTAAAGGCAGCACTGCAGTCCTTCTCAGTGACCTGTATATTGGGGCCAGGTTTCTCAAAAATAAGTATTTGATTCCTAACTCCCCACATATTTCAAGGAAATTGGTTACCCAGATGGGAGTTCGGAACGTAAATGCGGATCTGCCCCAACTGAAGGGTCATTTTACAAAGAAAAGCCAGCCTGGCATGTTTTTCGTATTTTTGATTTTCTGAACAGGTACATAATTCTTATACAAAATTAACAAGCACTGCTGGAGCTGTAGTGATGGTTGGCTCAGCACAGCGCAGTATTCTCACAAAAGCCTTCGCAAATGATGAGGAGAGAGTCTACAGCAGCAGGTGAAACATCATAAAACATTTAACTAGCTGTGTAGGCCCTCATCATTTAATAAAAATGATATGCTTTTGTAAAATACCATAGCTTTACTATCTGCTCAACAGCAGCAAAATCTTAGCCACTGAAAGATTATTTCCATGACCTATATGTATAATGTCACCTTCTCTAGAGATCTCTTTGCACTCCTATATGCAAGTAGACTCAAGCTTTGTCAAAATTTGTTATGTCTCAGACCTTTTTGCTGTACAAAATTGTTTTGATAATCAGGTAACTAGAATTCTTTCCTTGCCCTCATTACCTGATGTTTCATGCTTGTTACAGATCCAAGTAGGCTCCCTGCTTCAATTCCAAGTTTATGCAACCATGTCCTGCTGTTTCCAACACAGTTACACAAATCTCCAACTGCTTTTTGAAACTGATGTACCCAATACTGCAAGGAATTAGTGAATTGCAAGGAGCAATTGCAGTGAGAAAGGAGGGATAGATGCAAGCATCTGGGAGCAATAAGCTCTTCAGCTAGAAGAGCAAGGGTTTCTATAACCCTCATTTCCTTCCATTCCTCTTAATATAGCACACTACAAAGAAAATTTCCAGGGGCCCAGGCTGCTCTGTAACATCTGTTCTCCAATACTCAGATGAGCTGCCATCACAAATAAGAAGATTTTTAGAAAGGTCTGTCAAAAATAGAGACAGAAAATATAAAATTCTTTACTTTACCACTGTTTCATCACTTTTAAGTGCATTAAGTTCTCTGAAAAATGTATTCCCTAAGCACAAGCACACAGATTGTGACAGCCAGATCTTCCTCTACACAGTTTTCCTTTTTTGTTGTTTAGGCTTCCTAAACTTTACTATAACAGAAAAAGACTGTCCTCCTTTTTATTTTTCTTTCAATGTACTCCAAAAGACTACAGCCTTGTTTTGTCAGCATTCCTCTCTCTGTTTATGTGCTTTTCAAGCTTTAAGAGATAACACTGTATTTCATACAACATTTATCAATAATACTCATGTCTTTATTTACCATTTATAAACATCAAAACAATCGTTTGTAGATAAGGACACAGAAAACAGCAGCTTCTCAGACATTTATATTAACTTGCAAATACAGCATTTAGGATTAGTGACTAGTCATCCTGGACCTTTACACTTTTCTCTTCAGTATCTATGGAGTTCCTCATCTCCATCCATATCATCAGCACCTGTTCCTTGAATTTTCAGAATACTTTCTGTATAAATAAGGTTACCAAGTTTTTGGGTTGACTTAGATACATTTCCCCCTTCCCTGTCACCCCTCAGCTTTCTGCCAGTAGCGACAACCTGCCTGGAATCTCCTGACAGAGAGCAGCCCAGGGAGAAGAGCAGCTGCCCCACGGGCATTCCCAGCACTGGCAGGTAGCTCCATGAAGGACACTGGACATCAGAGTACAGGGCCACCAAGCACACACAGCTCAGTTACGTGGTGTGTGTGCTGTGAGACCAATGGATCCAGCTTTGCCAACTTACTGTCAACACCTTAGCCAATGATCACGTGTGAAAATGAACATGAAGAATAGCTGCTTCTTAGATATTTATAGAAACTTGCAAGAACAGTAAGGTCATTCCAGGATCCAGGATGTCCCCGTGTCTGGTACTACTTCCCTCTGGGAGAATGAGCAGGACTTGCTAAGGTCTCTTCTGTGTGGAAGAGATAATCAACATT